GTGTGCCCATCCGGTGTCCCTCCCCTGTCCCTAAAAGCAGCCCCGGGGGGCTGGGACGGTGGGGAAGGGGGTGGGGTGCTGCAGACACCCCTGGAGAAGCCCCTTCTGCACCACCGGAGAAGTTTGGCCTGTTTTGGGGTCTGTTCTTTGGATGGGAGCTGAACCCATCAGAGAGAGGGGCAGAGGGAAAACGGAGGGAGGAGGGTTTGCTGATGGAGGGAAAGGGAGGAAGGAGACAGCAGGAGGTGGCAGGGGAGCGCATCATCCCCCGCAGTCAGGGTGGGACGCGTGTTGTTGGTGGGGCAGCGTGCTGGATCCTTTCCTGCCTGGGGCAGAGGGATTCACTATCTTCTCCGGGGCTTGGTGCCCAACCCCACACCAGGTCCTTCCTTGCCCAAGTCCCCCTTGGGCTGGCCACAGCCAGGGAGAAACTGTCCCCCCCAGCCAGGACCCACCCAAACCACCCTGGGCATGCCTGCCTTGGGTTAACCCCTGCCTGGAGATGGGATGGGGCTGGGTCTTTTGGCTGGCACCTCTTCATGCCAGGACTGGGGACAGTGTCTCAGGGTGGATGGCTGAGGTTGGAGAGAGGTCCCAACCTGGTCCCAGTCAGCCCTTCATGATGAGGTCATCTGGGGACACTGGGACACGAGGCCATGCGATGGGCCATGAGGTAGGTATGGGTGTTGAGAGCAGGTCTGAGAGGAGACCAGAGCAGAAGAGGCCGTGCAGACCAAGAGGACACCAGCACACGTCATGCTGTAGGAGGAAGGGATGGGCTGCACTCAAGGGAGATGTCTCAAATAGCCCAGGGGATTCTCCCACTTCTCCCTACTGACTGCAAAGGGAGCCCGGGCTGACTTGCTCACATGGAGACATCTCTGCTCTGCAGACTCAAGGGGTTGCAGATGAACCTCTGTGTCCATAAATAATTAATCCTTTTGGAATCCTGGCTCTGGTACAGTGATCTGGGCAGATGAAGAGTGGGCTGTGTGGAAAAGCAGGGGAGGTGCTTGCTTCTGCTTTAGCTCTTGTTTTTGGTCCAGGTTCACGGCCAAGGAGGGGTCAAGTTCCAGAACTGGGCCAAGACCTATGGCTCCTCTCCGGAGTTGTACTTCCAGCCTACCTCAGTGGAGGAGATCCGGGAGGTAAGGAGGGTGCTCCCAGGAGACAACCTGTTAGAAATGAAGAGGAGGAGAGGCCAGGAAGGGCTGTGATGCTGCATTATGTTCAGTCAGAGAGTCACACATGGTGACAGCATGAGTCCTTCCCTTAGGCCCAGGAGATGGCCCATCCTTCTGAACTGCACACGTTCTCCAGAAGATGTGTCAAACACCCAAAAGATGCAGAAAACCAGCACGCCTGGCCCCAGTTGGACTCTGTTCCTTGGGCATCAACACCTGGTACCCTGGAGTCCTTTGCCTGCCCCAGATGCCATGCTGAGGGGTGGGAGTCCTGTGCCACTTCTGTCACCCCAGAGACGCCTCTGTCACCCTAGGGTGTCTCAGGTGGGCATCGCCTCTTTTGGGATCATAGAATCATAGAACGGTATGCATTGGAAGGAACCTTTAAAGGCCAAGGTCAATTGGCTCAACCCCCAAGGATGATCCCAAGGGCTGTCTTAGGAGGTGTCTGGGCTCCAGGGGTGGTTTTAACCCCAGATGATGAGTTATCAAAGTAAACGGATGTCAACCACGGGTCAGACTTCAGCTTGGAAGGTCGTGCAGTTCCTCTGGCACCGCCCTGAGCACACAGCTTTGAGGGAGGTGTTGGGTGCTGAGGGCCGCCTGTTGTCTCTGCAGATCCTGGATATGGCCAGGCAGCGGGACAAGAGGGTGAAGGTGGTGGGGGGCGGCCACTCTCCTTCTGACATCGCCTGCACCGATGACTTCATGATCCAGATGGGGAAGATGAACAGGATCCTCAAGGTGAGACCAGCTTCTGGGAGGTGGCGTGGTGGTCCTGAAACATGGTGGCACCCCTGTTCATGCAGCCACCATGGGCAGGGAGACCAACACTGCCTTAGCCAGCGTGAGAGGTGAAAGGATGGAGAGGCTTTCCTCTCCTCACAGCCAGGAGTTTTCCCAAACCAGACCCTGAAACGGTGGTGCCAGCCTGGGGAACGGGCATTTTCCTGGTGTAAAAGCATCCCTTGTGCATTGGAAGCGTATGGAGCAGCTCTAAAAATGCAAAGAAGTGATGTCCTCCCAGCGTGCGTTCAGCGAGGGCTTAACCTTGGCACGTTGTCCTCATGAAAGCACGTTTTGCTGGGTGGGGAGGAGGTACCTGGCAGGATCACCTTTCGCGGCTCGCTTGATGCGAGCTTGCAAAGGTGCCGTAGGCACAGCAGCCCGGCAACGATCCGGCTGGATGTTCCTGGTCCGTGGCTTGTTCCTGCATCGGGGAGGAAATGCCCCCGTGGGAGATTGCTCCATTTGGTGACACTGGGAAGGAAACAGCTCTTCCTGCTTGCCCGTGGATCACGTCCTGAACAAGTCTGGGAAAATGAGAGCTGCGGAGAGGCAGAGGTTTTCCTGCTCCTCTGCTTTGCCTTCACCTCCGGCGGGTAGGGAGATACTGGGCTCTTACTGGGGCCGTGTGGCTGGTTATAAACAGTGAGGGAAGGGCCTCTGTGCACGTGTGCGTGCCCGTGTGTCGTGTGTGCCTGCACACGTATGTGCATGCATGCCTGTTGCGTGTGTGTGCATGCATTTGTGCATGTATGTGCAGGCGTGCTTCTGCACGTGTGCACGTGTGCCTGTGTGTGCAGCTGAAGATGAAAAAAACCTGACTCTAGCAGCGTATTCTGAGCGCCGGATCATTACTGGTAATTAACAGCAATAGTTAATTAGGGAACGGCTCCCTCCCCGACAGCTCTGCCTGTCAGGAGCGAGATGAATAGCTCCCAATGGTAACAAGCTCTCCTTCCACCAGGAGCTGGCTGAGCGAGGCAGGCGGGCAGAGGGGAGATGTTTGCTGAAGGTAGAGCTTTGCTGAGGCGTGTCTTCTCCCTTGCGTTGACCAACACCTGGGAGAAGCTATGGGAGCGGTTACGCTCCCCTGAGACTGGGGAGAGCAGATGGGAGCAGGGTCTGGACCGGGGGCGGGAACCAGTGTCACCATTGGGTTGGACGAGGTTTGAGTTGGGTGAAGGTCTGAGAGAGGTGGCAGCTGAGGATGGAGCAAGTCCCTCGTGGTACGTGGCTCTCCTGTATAGACATTATCAGCTGCATTGGTAAGAGCAGAGGTATTTTCCATGGGGTGTTTCTCCTCCGAGCTGTGTGACCTTCCCCTCTCCCCTCCCCTCCCCTCCTTTGCAGGTGGACAAGGAGAAGCAGCAAGTGACGGTGGAAGGTGGGATTTTGCTCTCGGATCTGAACGTCGAGCTGAGCAAGCACGGGTTGGCCCTGGCCAAGTGAGTGAGACGCATGCATGGTGCCGTCCCTGGGTGTCCTCCAAGGTGTCCATCCTTGCCCCAGGGACGTTTGAAGAGCTTTTACTGCAGAATAGGGGTATTCACTTCAGGATCTGGTCTTCCACCAGGGTCACAGAATCACAGAATCATTAAGGTTGGAAAAGACCTCTAAGATCACGAAGTCCAACCATCAGCCCAACACCCCCATGCCCACTAAACCATGTCCCGAAGTGCCACGTCCACACGTTTTTTGAACGCCTCCAGGGACGGTGACTCCACCACCTCCCTGGGCAGCCTGTGCCAGTGCTTGGCCACTCCAGACTGCAGGTCAACCCCCTCCACGATGGGGTAGCTGGGTCCTGCCTCGGAGCAGGAGACTGGACGTGGGGAGCCTTTATCCCCACACCAACCCTATGTTCTCACCGCACCCACCAGGCTGGTCCTTTCCATGTCATGAAGGAAAACTGTCCTCCCTGGCCCTAAAAAGATGAGAGCACCCCTCCTGGGGATGCCTTGCATGGCACAGAGCTGCAGCTGACAGCAGGCAGCTCCTGGCAAAGGAGGCTGGTGGCAGATAAAATTAGGTAGAAATGAGTTTTTGATGGCGAAGGGCAATTAGCCATTGGCATATCTTAGCAGGAGGCATGGGAGAAGCTTTGCTCTGCATTGCTTTGGGATGTCGAGGAGGTGGAAGTGATGGGCTGGGGGTCCAGGTTAATCCTGGTGCAGAGGATGAGACGCCTCGAGCCGATCACAGCAGATCCCTCGGCCTCCAACGTGTGCGGCTCTCCCTTGCAGCGGGTGTCTTGCCAAGGGCTCGGAGGGACCTCACGTTCAGACAGAGTTTGCAAAGGAAATAGCCACAGAGAGCATTTCTCACACTCCGTCTCTTTTTTGTTTTCCTGACCTCAGGGAAGAAATTACTCTTTAATTACAGCCTGGCTCACTATCTGCGTCCCTCCGTCGATACAAGGGATGGCTTTGCCAGAGCCCTGGCCAGGGCTGGGCTGAGGGTTCAGAGAAATAAGCCCGATGTGACCAGGTGGCCAACGGTGTGCATGGGGTGAGGAGGACTCCTTCACGGAGGAGGAATCCACCGATGGTTGCGATGGCCATAGAAACCACATCTGGTTCAGGAGGTCCCTGCTCCCCAGCTTTTGGAAGCTGCAGGAGTTTGGGGGGGAAATGGCAGTTTCCATTTTTACATACTGTTTGCTGTAGCCTTCTACCATCCCCACGTGCCTGCCTTGGCCATGGTTGGAGGGACAGACCTTGCTCTGCAGACCTCATGCTTGTGGATGCTGCTTCCAGCCCTGCTCCGCAGTGATGTTTCCGGGGAAAACCCCGGTTCCTCACCCCTTGCTCGGCGTGCGTATGGGAGGCAGGTCTGCAGCCCAGTGAGTCCCTCCGGGCTGATGGGGAGGGATGGGGACTTGTGAGGCGGCACCACAGCCAAGCTGACCATGGTGACCTGCGCTCAGCAGCAGCCTCGTCCTCCCCATGGACTATAGTGGCATCCTGATAGATATGTCCCATGGAGACAGCCACATGTGGCCAACAAACGTGCCCGTTGCTGCAGGGTACCCTGAAGGGTGGAAAACCCTGCTTGTTGGGGTAGGGACTACGCCTTGGGGGACTCTGTACCTGCACACGGGGTCTGCACACAGCATTATGCCTGGCACGGTGGGCTGTGCCCCACACCACGTCCTATGTGCTCAGGTCCTCACCGGCCCCTTTGTCTGCTCCCAGCTTAGGAGCCGTTTCTGAGGTGGCGGCGGCCGGTGTGATCGGGACGGGGACGCACAACACCGGGATCAAGCATGGCATCCTCCCCACCCAGGTGAGACACGAGTCGGGTGTCGAAGCACGGACATCAGCATCTTGAGGGCTTCAGGGGAGATGTCCCATCACCTGATGTGGGTCTGGTGTGCCCAGCCCTGGCGTAGAGAAGGAGCACACTGTACTCGGCAAGCAGGAGGGGTCCTCACCCCCCAGGGATGGCGCCGCTATGGGGGACCCTCAAGTCCCCCACGCACAGAGGGACCTCCTCATCACAGAATCACAGAATCACAGAATCACTAAGGATGGAAAGGACCTTCAAGATCATCAAGTCCAACCATTAATCCAGCACCACCATGTCCCCTAAACCATGTCCTGAAGCGCCACATCCACACGTTTCTTGAACACTTCCAGAGATGGCGACTCCACCACCTCCCTGGGCAGCTTGTTCCAATGCTTGACCACCCTCTCAGTGAAGAAATTTTCCCCAATATCCAACCTAAACCTCCCCTGGGGCAACTTGAGGCCATTTCCTCTTGTCCTATCGCTGGTTACTTGGGAGAAGAGACCAACCCCCACCTCACCACAACCCCCTTTCAGGTAGCTGTAGAGAGCGATGAGGGCTCCCCTCAGCCTCCTCTTCTCCAGACTGAACACCCCCAGTTCCCTCAGCCGCTCCTCATCAGACTTGTGCTCCAGACCCCTCCCCAGCTCCGTTGCCCTTCTCTGGACACGCTCCAGCACCTCAACGTCCTTCTTGTCCTGAGGGGCCCAACACTGAACACAGGATTCTGTCTGCCAGTCAAAACATGATCCAGCCCCAAACTCCTCCGTCCCTGTACTTTATGGTCTTCTAATCCGACGAATAAGCTCTGTACCAAAGGGAAAGCGGTTCTTCTTGCATTGGAGCCCCCCCAACCCCAATCTCTGCAGGGCCCAGGTCTGTTTTTAACTAGACACTTATGAATCCCCTCCATTCCCAGCTCAGGTCCTGTGTGGTGATTCCACCGATGGTTATGGAGTAGCGAAGTAATTTGGGGGAGTTTTACTTCTTTATTTGACGCCTTTTCCTAGCATCCCCCAGAGAGAAGGATCCTTTTATGTCACTACATCAAAGGTGGCGGGAGAGGGGCTGGTGGAGCCAAGCTCAGCGGAAAGCAGCCTGTGATGCTGGTTGTGGTATGGAGGTCTCCCTGCTTCGCCCTGGGAGGGACGCAGGGTCTTGGCACGGAGACGGGACACACTGAACGTGTGCTGTTGCTGATGCTTTGCTCCCCTCTCGGCAGGTCGTAGCGCTCACGCTGCTGACAGCCTCGGGGGAGATCCTGGAGTGCTCCGAGTCCATCAACGTGGACATCTTCCAGGCTGCCTGCCTGCACCTCGGCTGCCTGGGCGTCGTGCTCACCGTCACCTTCCAGTGTGTGCCCCAGTTCTACCTGCACGAGGTGGCCTTCCCCTCCACTCTCACCGAGGTACGACGTGGGCGATGCTTTCAAAGCTTCCCCGGGGACAAGTAAAGTTCTTGGCGAGGTGACGTGGTCGGAGGGAGACCGGGAAGCGGTTACGCTCCGGTCGAAAATCCCACAGGTGATCCTTGCGCATCTTCGTGGGGTGCTTCACGGTGTCCTGTAAGCGGGAAACAACCCCAGGGCGGCAAAGGAGAGGAAGGAAAAGCCGTGTTTCCCAGGAAATGCCATTTTAACCTCCCATGGGTCTCACCTCCTGAGACCGGAGGGGTGCAGGTAGTGGGGCGGGAGGAGCGGTGCTGGTGAGTGCCACCGCCGTGGCACCGCCGGTGGGTGGTCGGCACCTGCAGCAAGATGTGCGTCACAAGGTGCAGCCGAGGTTCAGGAGCAAAGCAGGGTTTGGGGGTGCAGTCCCTCGTGTTTTTGCAAGCCGAGCCAGCGGGGCAGTGAGAAATGGGGGTGCTGAGTCCCGCTGTGCTGCGGGAAGGCGTTTGCTTGGCTCCCAAGGGTGCTGCATGGAGCAGAGGCGAGGGCTGAGCGTGCGCTGACTGCTTTGCTGGCCACATAGTCGGGGGGAGGCTGGGTGGGGAAGCCCAGGGTGCTGTCAGTCTGCTACGAGTTCTTCGGTCCTCACAAAAAAGCAGGCGGGACCCCTGCACCTCGCACTGGGACCCTCTGCATCCAGCCTGGGGGAGCTGGGCAGGGAGGGAGAGCTGCGGGGAAAGACGCGGAGATAAAGTAATTTCCTTTGTTTATATTTTCTGGTGGGTTTTGAGAACCGCAAGGCACCGTGTCTGGGAGAAGTTGTGCCCATTCCCAGCTGCTTTCAGCTCTGCGTCTGGCCCAGGACAGCTCAGGGGTGCGAAGGTGACGTGAAACTTCACTTCCTTCATCATTGCCACGCTCACCCCTGAGCTGCCTCCAGGCTCCTCTTTTAAAACTAGCCCAGACCGACGCAGATTTTTGCATTTATCCAGCACGAGAATCAAACAGCTGATTTTACTGTCCTGGACCAGGCTCCGTGCAGCCCTGGGGCGTCTCATGGCGGCAGAAGGCTGGTGGCTTCCAGTGTCCTCAGGAGCCTCCCAAAGACTTTCTGTGCTCACCTCGGGCTGCAGAGAGTGACCCTGAGCGGGGACAGGGCTGCGTCCTTCAGAGACGTCCTCTGGGTCCCAGCAGAGCAGAGGGGAGGCTGGTGTGGGAGGCTTGGCTGCCTGGCAGGCAGCAGGCAGGCAGGCACTGCTGCCTGCGCTCCTGGGCACCATCGCAGCTCGGAGAGCATGGGGTACGTGGCAAACGGGAGATGCGGGGGAGCAGAGGGAGGGAGCACCACAGACCTCCC